GGGGTTGAGGAGTCCTCTCGGGAGAGACTCGCCTCGGCACGTCAGTAATTGATAAATGCAGCTCTTCGCGTTCTCACAGAGCTGTTACCCCCGGATGTTGCTGAAGAGCACACGTCACCATTTGTTTTAGGGTGTCTCCAACCTAAAATAGGGGGAATTAGAGTATCTGTGAAGAAACCTGTGATTTTGAGAAAGACTAGGAGGAGGAGTCCGAAAACCGGTCCACCTGGACTTTCCCTTCTGTGAAGCTGGACTGGGCCATCGCTCAGCCTCAGCCCCTTGCATTAAAGTGCCAGTCTTAAACAATTTCATAAGCAGTTCTGCAGCTAAGAAAAACTACTTGTGTCCAAGCTTTTGCTTTCCAGTCCCAGCATACCCAGGCCTTTTTTAGCCTTCGCAGAAGCAGGCAGAGAACACAACTGTACCGTAATACCCTCAGCTACCTTGCTGGAAACAAAGGCCCCCTCGTGCATTGCAGTTACACATCAATAACATCACAGTTATCGTATCACAGCTATAGCCTAATATACACCTACACAGTTACAGCTGACAACAGTTATGAAGGGGGATAAGGGCATGAATCAGATGAGATGTATGAATTCTGTGGACGTGTAAGTTCTTCCTTGGTGTAACTCTCTTAGCACTGCTGTCAGCACTGCATTTAAAGACTTCTGCAAGGTCTCTAAAATCTCATTTCTTTTTACCTTCCAGACAAGCCCTGTGGGGACCCACCGTCCTTCCCCCACACCATCCTGCATGGCCACACTGGCTTTGAAATGGGGGACGAGCTGCTGTATGTTTGCGCCCAGGGGTACCTCATGGGCAACAAGGAGACAGCTTTCACACTGCTCTGCAATAGCTGCGGGGAGTGGTACGGGCAGGTTCAGGCCTGTGTCAAAGGTAAGCTCACCCAGCACATGGAGCATCCCTCCAGGAGGTCATAGCCTTCCGCTGGCCCAGCAGAGATGGTTTTAGGCATACAGGGGTGCCTCCTCCTGTGCACATGAAGTCCCAGTGAAGCTCTTGGTGACTACAGCATCAATGTCTTAGCTGGCTCAACAGGGCTTTCACAGCCCTGCTGGCAGACATCTCCAGTAAACCACAGGAGAGAACACTGTAGCTATACTCACATGCACATAAAGTTCTTTTTTCTGGGTAACAGGAGCCACTAAAAGTAAAAAAGAAGATTTTTTTTTATGCCATATTTATTTTATCTGTATCTGCTACCCCTTTCAGGCATTCACGGAGTCTTATCCCAAGGTTAGCATTCAGCTGCTGCCTTCCAGTCCACCATCTTCCTTCTTTCCCCCTGCAATGCCCTTTTTCTTTAGTACTGAACATAATTTTTAATTACTAGAAAATAACCTTTGGCAAGATTCTTCACTTGTGTATTTCATATCAGAATCAGCCCCTTTCTGGAAATCAGTTGTTTATAATCTTGTGTGTGCCCATTCTGCTACTGGGTGAGGTTTATAACTTTTCTATGTACATACTTAGTTTACTCAAGGTAAGGGATTCCTACTGATGGTACAGAAATGCCAGAGGTATTTTCTTCAGGGTAGTTCAAAAGCTGCTCTCAGGCAGCATCAGAGAGCCAAAGACATTGTTTACCAGATAGAGTGCACAATGCAGGTTTTGTATATCTTCTGCTATGTTTATTTTCACATGAAGCCACAGAGTTGCTACAGAGCAGGCTGCTGCAATGAAAACTTGGTGTTTGCTCTCACCTTTGGTAACCTAGAGCAAGAACAGAGAAAAGTCAGTGTCTTTCTGTAGGCATGTACATAATTAACATCTTTCCCTACCATAGACATGCTGCAGCTGCCCATGATTTTAACACCCACTCACCAGCCTTACATCTTTATGTGATGGTACATCTTTATGTGATGCTGAGGCCCCCGAGATAGCATCCTCCTTACAGAAAAGACAAGGTGCCATGGCAGTACTGTAACCCCGTGAAGACAGGGGTCAATACTTCTCAAGGGCACAGCAGACCCATATGCAACTCCCCCTGCTTCTTTATATTTTCTAGGTTGAGCTGAGCTGATCATCCTTTAGGCATTCTTGAATTTTTATCTGGGATGCAAAATGGGTAATACAACAGCTGTCCATCTTTCAAGCCCCAGACGTTCTCCACTGGCTTGTAAGAAGCTAGTTTGGCTGATCTGAGCTTTTACTAGCCCTTTACCACTAGTTGCTTTAGCATTTTTGAACTTCTGGCCTTAGATAGATGCTAAATACCACTTCCTTTTGGTAGGTTAGGAAAATTAGAGATCTGTGTAAGTTAAGAGAGCTGCCTGTGCTACACAAGTCTGTGACAGAGTGGCAGAAACACTTGGGTTAGAGCTAAGCAGTTAGATGGAAAAGTTAAAAAAGAAAAAAAAGTGTTCTTCTTTAATTTGCCCCAATAAAAAGGCAGATTTTTATCTTGTACCATGCTTGCAGGATTTTTGTCTACAAACACAACAGTAGCTGCCCAGGTATTTACTCCATTGAAAGGAATGAAAGTGGATTTTCTTACCAAATAATTTGACTGAAGGAATCAGGCTTTTACTAAAAAAACTCCAAACAAAAAGAACATAATGTGAAAGCTATGAGAAGTTATAATAGTGACATTTCCTTGATTTAAAGCTTCAAGAAACCCCACCTTTATATTGCTTAAGTTGTGCGATGAGCTTTCCCCTTGTTTAAACATAAGCTAAATAGTATCATGAGTTCAGACACGGATGCAGTCTGAATTCTGCTTTCTCATTCTTTCTCATGTTACCCTGCTCTATGCATAAAGCTCACGATTTTTCAATATTTAAGAACAGTCATCAGAGCACGTTATGGTGGGGTATTTGTCAGAGAGATATCACACCTTTAGGATGATACTGCTGGCAAAGCAGATTAATCTTCAGCAAAGGAATGGGCAGCTGTCAGGTAGCCAAGCTATCTATATGGGCTCAAGTTAGCGTATCGACTTCAGAACCTATGTATTCCTTAATGCCCAGTGGCTTACAAGAGTTATTTTTACTCATGAATGTTTACCAGCAGGCACAGCATAATCATGAGAAAAGGTCAAATTTGTTCTTAGTAGAAACGGGTCATGTCTGTGTACCAGGCAACCAGATATTCAAACCCATCAAAATGGTATAAAGATAAATAATAAAATAAATTCCAACATCTTTCTGAACTGTTTCATCTTCCAGAACTGTTCTTACAAACAGCAGTTCAGATGATTAAGTGAAATACTACAGGGAGTGGAGGAGGAGCATGGAGGGAGAGAAGGAAAAGAGTATCTACATCTGATAACCCAGTGGGTCTGACTCTCCTATAATCTGCACCATACTGGTACTTCTTTTTCCTTCACTGAGGTTAGTGAAAATGCTGACTTTATCACACATAGAAATAAAACTCTATGACACCAAAGTAAGGAAGGGAAAGAATCAGGCTATTTAACTTGTGTGTGTTTCACTGTTTTCCCTGGATAAATAGTCTATTTCCCCTGTTTTGCCTGAGCCTTTCACACAGCTGCAGGGGAGAGGATAATATTTTTAAAAGAAATAGGGAAGTGTGGCTGTAAAATCACAAACATCAACACTGGAACTTGGGAGCAGAGGTAATATTGTGGATTATGTTTTTTTTTTAGATTATTTAAATGTAGACTTCATGCTGAGGGGCTTCCTTTGATTAATGTTTTTCAAACACTTTAAAGATAAGACGTGGGATAGAAGCCACAATACGTGTCCAATTAATAATCAGATATTCGCTCCTCCTGATCACAATTCTTTAAGAAAGAAGGCTTTACAAGAGGAGTGAAATACTAGGCTTCATTATTTTTAAAAAAGTAAAAATTCAGTGAAAAATACAAAAGGGAGTTTCATGAAAAGAAACCTGATTTACAGTTGACAGTTATTTTAGGTTCGCAGCACAAAGGAGAATAATTATTACTTAAGTACTCCAGAGGCCAGCACACACACTGCTTTTTAAGTGCTTTGAGGCAGGAGTAACTTCCCTATTATGATGGTTAATGACAGGACAATTTATATCCCTGTTGGCAGGGTGGGCCATTTCTGTCCTAACTGGCTGACATCAGAGGAAAAACGGTGGCGAAGCCACTTCAATGAACATTTAAGTACTACGTTTAGAGGCTGGTAAGGTGATACAGACCCCTCGTTCTGCATCTGCCACGTGAGCAACTGGAAATATTAAGTGGTCCCAGTGCTCTTACGCCAACACGACTGGACCATGGGGAGAAAGCCCCTGCCATAGGATTAAAAGAACAAGTCCTGCTCCTATGTCTTGCACTGTTTCTGAGATGGGGCAAGTTCACTGTACTACTCTCTGTTGCTTACTCCACCTCATCCACGAAAGAGTGATAATGTTTATCCAGCTTCATAAAGCTTTCTGAGATTTGCTGATGTTCCAGATGTGTATTATTTTACTACTTGGTAATTGCCACATTATAATGCCCAGCTGTCCAAGCAGCATATCAGACTAAACAGCAATAATTGGGCTTTTCTCCTACTTTGTAAAAGCATTAGGCCTGCACTTCATTCCCAGTTGCTCACCGGGAGCAAATACAGAGTCAAAGAACTATCATCATAGCAGTGTCTAAATATAGCACTTACATGTTCTTTGAAGTAACTTTATGATCATATTTCCTCTCTCTTTTGATCCAGTTAGAAGAGATACCGTCCATTCTGGCACCCAGGATGTAAGTGTACAATCACACAGTTGGTAAATCTGTAAATTAAACGAAAACATGTATTATGCATCGATACACATATAATCCAAAATATGTGGTAAAACCTGGCTGTGGGCATAACTGAACAAAATCATTTTGGGATTATATTAAGTGGATTCTGGACACAGTAAAGTATGTAAGAAATTAAGAAAACAGTATGTTACAAATGGCTTTACTGTACATTGCACACACCAGGCAATGGATGGTAATTTTAAATGAAGATGCTTTTTAAGGAAAAAAGTGGTTCTGTACAGTTAGTCTTTCCCTGCAGTTTCTGGTCATGAAAAGATGCTGTGTTCTTGCTGAAAACACAGGGATATTCAACCCAACAAAGCAACCTTAAACAGAGCACAGGGAAATACGCGGGTTTTGCAGTTTATTTTCTGTGGAAATAACCCATTGTTTCACAAAATACATTCTGAAGATGGGCACTGTAGTAAGGTCTGAAAGCAGATGTAGACATGCTATGCTGTGGCTGTCCTGCAGGCACAGAGACTGAGTGACCATTGCTAAATGACATTTGTGTTTTGTTTTCTCTTTTCCCAAAATGAACCATAGGTTCAGTATCAGAAGCATTAATACTAACATTTCAGTGGGGGGACAAGGCTGTATTGCATTAGGCTGCATCCTTGAGAGTTTGCTTCTTCAAAGAGAAGGTGGATTAGGTGGCTGGGAAATCATGTCACTTCTCTGCCCTAAAACTGGCAAAGAGGAATGTCTCATATTTCTCCTTCTCCCGTGGCTGCTTTGGGTTTTTCCAACTATAAGCTTGTGGCAGGAGAGGTCTTATCTTCTGCACACCTAAAGAATCTCTCCAGTGTCAACACTTGGATAATTGTCTAGTGTGTTCAGAGCTGGTCTGACTTCCACACTGAGGACGAGACTTCTGATTTCAGTGTAAGGAGGATACAGCTGACTCTGACCACCTCTGAAAGCCTCAGCTGCAGCTCCCAGTCTTTTTGCCTGGTTCAACTGTTCTCATTACTTCAAACATTGCTTTCTGAGTTTTCAGGAATAGTGTAGATTCACATCCATGTGGTCTGTAAGCATGACTAGCCAGCACCATTTAGTTACTTTTATTTCTTTAATGGGCAGAGTAAAGCAAAATGGCTGTGGCTTTCGATCTTATTTCGGGATGTGTTTTGTTTTGTTTTGTTTTCTTCTGGGAGAGCAAAGGAAGTTGTGGCAGACAAAATCAGAACAAAGTATGTCCAATGACTTGTCAAAACAATTGTTATGACAAACTTTGGTTCTCTTTTCAGGTCTGTCACTGAGTGGTTGTATTAGATTAATGTAAGGTATTGATCTGGCATGAACTGATTCTGCCAAATGAAATTACTTTTAAAAATCATGATGGCTTATTTATTTACATTAGCAGGCTTTCTGCTACAATAAAAATCATCCTTCTTGTAGCTGTTGCAAAAGACTAAAGGCAAAACAATTTCTGTCCAGCATACTCTGGCTGGTCTGAGAGAAGTGTGATCCAAGTCAAATGGATAATTCTTCAAGATGCTCTAGTTTACAACTCTGATCTTAGGCAAATTGGTCTACATGCTCTTTTCCTTCCTACTCTTTAAGACATGTGTCAGCTTGTTAATGTTCACTGTAACTACTTTGAGATTCTTAGAATAAAGCTGGGTTTATACAGTAGAAATGTTTATGATGATGGTCTACATAGCATCAAGTTTCAATTTCCTGTACTCCAAAAATACATCCTCAAAATATGCAGTGCACTTTATGGTTGTCCAAAATAGCAACACTCAAAATACAGCTGGGATGCCAATATGCTATCTAGAAGAAAAATTAAACTGATCCTAGAGTGTGGAAAACAAGGCTCTTTCTTTGGTTTTGCCTGTGTCTGTTAGGTCACCGTTTTCACATTAGGATCAAAAGTTGAAGGAGATAAAAGCTCTTTAAGGACTGGATGCTTCCCAGAAAAAACAAGGCTAAATTAAAAGGATTTTACCTTTTAATTGAGTTTCACTTCTTTGGTAGTGTGCCATTTCAGCTTCTGTTGCTGTAAAATGTTCATTTCAGCCTCAGTAATCCCTCAGTGAAACAAAACTCCCTGATCACTGAGTCTGACAGAGGAGGGTAGAGGTAAGATGTAACAATTACCAAATATAGGAAGATTTTGGTCTTGGACTAACTCATTTCAGTGCTGGCTCTTCTTAAAACCAGACCTGCCTGGATAGGAACATGCAACCACTTTTAAACCAGTTGCTAGCTGTTTTAAGAATGTGTATAAACAACTATTTGGGTAAGAGGTGGAACTGAATCTAGTTTGGTTGTGGCTCTTTAGTACTGAGACTAAAATTCAGGGAGCTGGAAAGCTCAGGTAAGTGCTGAGGAGGTGAGCAAAAAAGAAGTGCAAAAGTTGTGCAATCTGCCCTGGAAAATCAAGCTCACAGCTGACTTAAAAGATTGTCATGGTAACACAGAACTACTAAATACTAAGTCCAGGCCCCATTTGAAGGTCTGAGGCCCAGAAGAAAAAATAGAGTATTATTACTGTGTAAGTCAATTCAGGATCATATAAATTAAAGCGTCAGAGTCAGGGGGTCTGTATTTCCTTTGATGGTTAGAGAGCTCAATAGTTGCTTTCATTCTGCTATCCTATACACAAACCTTAGTTACGTTGATAGTCTTTGCTATAAACTATACAAATACAGGAGATGGCATATGAAAATACATTACAGCAGCTTTACAACTTGGGCCACAATCTGATTGTCAGAACGAACAAGACTCCCTTATGCAGTGACAAGCAGTGCATAATGAGCTCCAATCTCGAGCTCTCTTTAGACTACAATGGGCTTTTTCTTTCCTCAGCTGAACATTAAGAAAGCACCGATTCATTTCTATACATGCAGGATCAGGCCCAAAGACAGCAGGTTTGGTGGAGACTTGATAGATGGTTCAGCAAACACTCAATATGTTCTGATAGACTGAGGACTTGTATTTTCCTAGGAGCACATTCTCTTTCCTGATGTGCCTCCATAGGACTTTTATCTGAAGGGCTGAAAGCACATGGCAGGAGAAGCACTAAAGGAGAAGAGCTTCAAATTCTGTAAAAACCATATTACTGCAGTTGTTAAGCATTCACCAATGATCCATACTGGTAAATAAGATGAATACTAGCTGCTCATTCACACTGCTAACTAAAGAATACGTCTGGAGGAAACAGCCCAAGCATATGAATGTAATTTTTGTTCATGGATGTGTGTGCATGCACTAGAACACCATAACGTAAAAATCAACGTTTCATCCTCAGATGGACTGTTGTAGTCTGAAAAGTAAATGAGTTGCAAAAATAGAGGTACAGGTGAAGACAGACATGTGATGATTCATTTCAAAAAAGGAAATAATGACCGTCACAGTTGGTAAATAGTGAGTTCTCACAATATGATGTTCCAGTGCATATATATTCTATAAGCTGTCCGGGGAGACACTGGACTTCAGTGAAGCAGGTATGCCAGATACCAATTTCAGCAAGAGCCTGGCTGGTAAGAGGACAAAATGGCTTGAAGTACCATTTGCATGCAAAGGGCGTGCCAGGTAGAAAAATTCTTCAGTGAAAATGGGACAAGGGACAAAGCGAGACGAGCATTTGATGGCTATTTCAAGTGCTACATACTGATGGCCAGTGCCACACAGAGCTTCATAAACATGTTGCTAAAATGTTTTGGTATTCAGAGGGACCCTCCAGTCATTAACAAAAGCCTGAAATATTGTTGGAAAAGATTTTAGGATGAATAGTGTCCCACCAGGAAGGTTTCCCTTCTGAGAGATGGATTCCCCTGTCTGTTAAGTTGGTTTTGCACCAGATGAAGTTTTTTCCTGCATTGGTGAGGATCTAGAGGATTACAGAAGCAGATGAGGACACCAGGACCAGGCACGAAAGAAGACCATTGTTGGCACTGTTGTATCTTGCACAGGTTTCACCCTACACCCTTGCTGTGAGATGAGAGGACCTACTGAGAACATCCAGTTCTCCAACATGATAGCTTTTGCAGAGGTATTAACTCACACATTTTGGTTTCCTCAGCATAACTACTTTGGTTTCTGGTAGACCCAGATGCTAATTCCAAGAAAAATACTTGTTGCTAATACTCATTCTCTTCTGGCACCTGGCTTAAGTTGTTCTGGAAAAAAATAAGCTGGTGTGAGCTGTGTCACTGTGGAGTGGTTTTGGTCAGACTGGTTTGACAATATTTCTAATCTTTCTTAAGAGTAGACCAAATATGGCTCTGCCAGAAGTCTGGGAAGCAGTCTCCAAGGAGAATGTGACTCATTTGGCAAATGAGGAGGGCCCCAGATGAAAACGTGGTTCAAAGCTGGTTGAGTGTAAAAAGGCAAAAAAAGATAAGGCTTTATGAATGCACTGATCTGTAATGCACCTTAGCCTATTACTTTCTTATTTCCCATGCCATGCCAGGTCTATTGCTTTACCGTCTTCATGAAAGGCTAAACACTCTATTAAAAAGAAAAATTCTCACCATGATTCATTGGTTTTATTTTCCACATCCTAAGGCACTATTTTCTAGGCCTTGTAATGCCAGCATAAATCTCAGCAATTACTTCAACTTTCTGTGGAGTAAAACTTGTGTGAGCTGAAAATCAACCACCCTGTCTAGTTTGGAAAATTCTTCATTGAGGTCTTCTAGAGGAGTGCAAGAAATATAAATTACAATGCAATACTGCATTCAAATTCAAACATTTAGTTTCATGCTCGAAGTTAAGTCTATTTTGCTGTGAGTGGTAAGTCTGTTGAGGCATGGGGAGCATTTCTAAATCAGACTCAAACCTTGAGATCAATCTGCCTCTCTGTTGCATTCAGGTTTTTGGGGGGTTTTGCCAATTTGGTTTTGGGTTTTTTTCCCCTTTTTCTTTATGGTAACGTTAAGTTTCTTAAAATTGGAAGCCTGAGAGTTGATTGCAGATGGTGTTATCTTGACCCCTAGGTGTTAGGCTTTAAGTGTTGGAGACAAGAGTTTTCTATCCTCACAGTCATGGGTGCATCTTCTTTCTTCAGATGAAGTTAAGCAAAACTCATCATCAGCTTTGGTGGTGGGGTCTTCTTTGGGCAGCTCTGAAGAGCTCACATGGAATGAAAATTACTGTCTAGGAGTCACTCCTCTTTGCACCTTTCTTCTTGGCTTCTTGTATCAAATGAGCCCAGTGCTCTTCGAGAGAAATTAAGTGTTGCATTTTGTGCTGGTTTTTTTTTTTTTTTAATGTTTCTAGATGCAACCGAGGCACATATTGACTACGAAGATAACTTTCCTGATGACAGGTCAATAGCTATTGTTGAGAATGAACACGTCAATGGCAAAGAGGAAACTGAGCAGGAGCAAGAACAGCTTTCCTTCAGTAAAAGTTCAGAGGAAAGAAGAATTGGAAGTACCAAAGGTGTTACTCAGGACACAGACACTGCTGAAAAAGGAAGCAGGGCACCAACTGAATCCCCCGTGTCACTCCTAAGCCAAAAAAATTTGTTTTGGTTTCCATCAGAGGCTTTCAGTGAGCCTGAATCAGAGAAAGATGATTCCACTAAAGCAGAGTTTTCTGAAGGTGATAACCACATTGGAGTGAAGGCACCCTATGATGAACCTGGTGTCAAAATATTTTATGACAGTGAGGATTTCCCCATTGGACCCATTTTCACAACTAATGATACAAAGGCAGAGATAGACGCAGTTGCCATCACTGATGAATCATGGTTAGATGGCTATCCAGTAACACAAGAAGTGGTAGAGGATGATGAAGAAGAAGGGGATAAAGTTGATAGTTCAATGGGAACTGAAGATGATGTTGTCCTCACAACTGACCAACCAAATCATGTTGAAGTAAAGAAATCAGGCAATGGCAGCCCAGCTCCAGAGGAAAGTTTAACACAGATTGTGGCAGCAACAACAAAAGTAGATGATGAAGGGACCAAAGAGACACCGGTGCTACTTACATCAGTAAGTGGTCTGGAGAACTTAAGCACGAGCAGAAGTTACGATGATACCGCATGGGACCACCCAACTACATCTCTGGAAACCGTGACTCAGGAGCCTGGTACAACGGTGCTGTTTGACATAACCAGCTTAAAAACATCCACGTCAGAAGCCACTGTGATGGCCAGCCCCTCCGATCACACTCCGTATGCAGAACCACAAGAAACAACCACCTACCCTGCACAAATAGCAACCACTGCAGCAGCTCCAGATATCATTACTGACACGTCATCCCAGGAATTAGCTGAGCAAGAAAATCTCACCCAGGGCCCTGGAGAAAAGCCCGACCCCACTTCTGATCCGTGTGAGGGAGAGGATTGTCCCAGATCCAGTAAAGGTGCTGTCATAGCAGTAATTGTGGTTTTTCTCTGTTTGTTACTGGTTGCAGCTGTACTGGCTGTGTGGTTCTTCAAAAAACGTCAGGAGAAAAATTCTGTCTATAAACTCAATGGCAGGTGTCAACCCAAGCATCACTGCTACCACCACTACCACCACCAGCACATCGAAATGCAGAAAGTCTAACCAGGGGCCTTTGGGCAGAGATGCTACAAATTGGAAGGAAAACATACTGATGCTAGAAGGATCACATGACTCATGGATGCTAAAATCCAGCAGTGCAGAAAGCAGAAGAAAAAAAGAACACTAAAAGAACATAGAAGACACAAAAGATTTCATCCTTTTGAAATCACAGTTTAGCATCTTCGACTTTCAAGAGCTGAAGAATCTGATTGTTTTTATCACAGGAGTCTTCTGGAGGGATCAGCAGGACACCGTGTGCTTGGTAGTACATCTACAGTTTGTTCCGCTTTTACATTTTGCTCCTATTAATAATAAATTAATTGATTAATTTCTGTGTTACCTGGTTATAATGTAATGGCAGGGCTGGTCAGGCCTTCTTGGTCTCAATGGAAGAAGGAAAGAAAGAGGGAAGGAGGGGAGAAAGATGTTTTTGGAGCAACCACACATTTGGTGGTGTTCTTTGTTTAGAACCTGCCCAAGCTGGTCAGGATAAACCACCATAACAAATTATTACCTGATGTGTCTTAAAATGAAAACCTATTTGCTACCATACTTTAATGGATAGTATTGCAATGATTACTAAGGTACTTTTCTTCAATGTTGTGAACTTAACAAGCCACAAGTGATGGATCATCACGGTAGTTTTCTGGAAGGTGTTATTTTAGCATTAGTGAAGAAGTACCATTCTTATACTAATCTTTTTAAAGAAATCATGTCTCCCTGGAATTCAGAGAATACAGGAAGTGCCATTCTTCCTTGACTATCAGCAGAAGCCAGAGCACCTTTGATTCCAGGTGTTATGATGAATAGCCTCTTATTACAGAGCCAAACAGTGATGAAGCACTTCCCAGGGACACCCTGTATAAAGTCGGCTGCTTTTCTGAACACAATCCTGACTGACCAGGATACTGAATTCACAGCCGGGTGTACCTCTGGCAACTGAAGCCATGTATAATACTTCTGCCACGTGAAATCTGTGGAAGGATGGATTTTTACCATTCTGCTCTTATACCAGCTGCAGGGGTGCCCGGGGTGGACACTGGCTGTGGGAGATGGGTATCCATTTTGAATGCTGCTTACTGTGGTTTTAAAGATAAAGCAAACCTGGGAAAGAGAGAAATTGCATCCAGTTGATAAAATGCAAACACTTGGCTTTTAGACTGGGCGTTGGTGTAAAAACACAGAGGCTTTTCCAACAGCATGTTCCATTTCCACGAGTTCTGAAAATAAAGAGTGAGAAAGAAGAGGATGTTTTCTAGAATCCCTTAACATAGTTCTGGTGAGTTTAGTATGAAATGCTCTTCCTTACCTTTCTGAACAAACAGGAGAAAGACTGGCAACGGCATAATCTGCAGGTCAGAAACAAATTCATCTGCCTCTCTATTGTACAGCCTTAGCCAAAACATGCCAGTAATTCAACCCATCAAAATACCGGAATTAGAAAAGGCGACTGGGTGGAGCTGACCTGTTTTCATGTGCTGCCTTGAGTCAGAGCGGTAACCATCCTGAACTCCATGGAGGTAGACTTTATGAAGTGGAGCGCAGAGCTGGGCCCGTCATACACACAGCCATCAGTCGCAGCGCTGGTAAGGAAAACAGAGCAGTTGTAGATGATGGCCATATGGAGAACTTGACCTCAGAGTGGTAAGAGTTGAATCTAATTGCCAGGCAAGAGCCACAGTAAATAAAGGACAGAAACTGTACAAATCTGTAAATACTGTGTTCTCTGACATACGCATGACTTTATGCTTTTAATGCATTCTAGACTATGAAATAACCTAGAATTCCTGTTGTAAACTATTTTTTTATACAATAACGTTTAAAAAAATCCAAAAAAGCAATGGATTTTGCACTATGCAACTTTATAGAGACTAACTCGACTAAAACACACCATCTGTAATCCTATGGAAACATGCTGAAACATAAACATGGGAACAGCCACTAAAAATATTGTTTAATTGAAAGATACAAGTCTCTGTTACAGCTCTGTGTAGCATCATTCAAAACGAAAAGTCAGTACTATTTGGCTCAAGAACTGAACATGTGAAAATGAGGCTCAAAATATAATTAAACCCGCAAATTGTACAGGGACCTTATTTGAGGCTTAGAAATAATTGTTATTCACGAACCAGAAGAAAATGTACATTAATATAATGCTTTGGAGGTATTTAAATAAAGATCAAGGTACAAAAAAGGGAAAGTAAGCATTTGTGTGTGTTCTTGTGAAAATCATCCAGTTTGCCCACATGTTTATGAAGGGAAGTTAGGTCTGTCATTTGGATAAGTCTTGTAGGAGACAGTTTAAGACATAGCTGAAAAGTGTTTAGCTTAGGCTGCCAGGCTGATTCTGCTTCAGAATGCCATCTACCCCGTCTTGCAGCAGCACCTGATTGTTTTCACTTTACCAGAATGATTCAGGGAATTTGGGAAAACTAATAAACAGATGGGGGTAAACAGCCCACGAATGATATGTTTGACTTAGATCTCCTTTTGTGTGTGAAACTTGGCTAATCAAGGACAGTAGGGATGGTGAACGGTAGAGTCCAGTAAAATCTGAAGATGATAAAGACAAAATACAGTAGGGGATAAGTCACTTATTACAGGAATTAAGAGCTGAAAGTGCCAGCTATGGGCTGAAATTAGGAAAAGTAAAAGGAAGGGGGAAAATAGTGGGAGTGATCTTGTGATGGTGACATCCAGTCATTAAGAGATTGATCTGCTGCTCTGTGATGGAAGTTGTGTATCATCCTCTTCCAGGGAAGCCACGTATTACAAGAGGCTGGCTAGAATGAGCTCACTGGTGTTAAGACTGACATATGATCTCCCTTTCCCTTCCTTTCCTGTATTAACAACTACCTATTAAATAAGACCCCATTTCATACAGATCATGTGCTGTTTGTTGTGTCTGGGCAGAGCCTTGCATAGATTTGCTGTCAGGCAGGCTGAGAAGTGACACTGTGGGGTGTAACACTGAACCTACGGGCAGTGTTTGGGGGTTCAAGCCCTTGCAGCCAATAGGTGCTTGCTCCCCTTTGTACAGAAACTTTGGGATCGTGGATTTTAGGTAGTCGGTAAATTCCTGGGCCGAAATCCCCTCAATTTCTGTGCTTGTCCTTGCATTTGCCAGCTGGATGACAATATATGGTTTATTGTGCTGTACTGCCTTATCGCATACTTTACCTCAAAAGCTGTTATGTTGGGGATTTGTTGCCATGGGCATTGAAGCCAGCACAGATTTTTTTTTCTTCAATGGGAAGAATTTACTTTTTTATATCCAATAATTTGTAATGCAATCATACAACATAACACACCACTGTGAAAAACCAAAAAATGACCATTTGAAAAATCAGTTCTAACAAAACCCAATTTGAGTTATGAGGCTTGTCAAACTACAGGGTTACCACTAGCTCAGGATAATGCTTAAATCTTTAATCCCTTATAATAAGTAAGACAGTAAGATTTCAGATAGTAAGAAGGGGGCAAAGGCAGAAACCCCCAGTTTTCTCTTCAATGTTAGTAGTCACATAAAGTTACACCTCGGACCCCCATATTTCTGCTTGAAAGTAAGCAAGTTCCATTTCTTTGCAAAAGAACTAATCAGGGAAAAAAGCACATTTCTTACTTCATGCTGCTTAAAAGGTCTGCCCATGATGTATATCAAAGGGAAGAAAAAGTTAAAAATAATCAAAGAAAGCTTAGAAAGTTTTTCTACAGATAAGGTTAGCATTTATAAACGTAGAACTTCAAAACTCTCTACAGAATGTAGTTTCCATATATCACCGGTACTCCAAGGAGAGAGAAGAGGGTAGGGACGAGAGATGGGTGTCTAAACCACTGAATATTTCCTTGCCAAAAACAAATAAATAAGAAGGTATCTGTTTATTTTAATATTTTTCCTAGGCACTGGAAAGGACTTAAGACACAAACCCCTGATTTGCTGGGGTGTGCAACCCAACTTGCTATGGCTGTTTCTTATTTAACTTCTTTATTTTATATAGCTTAAACTCTCCACACTAGGTCATTCAGGTCTTGAGTCACCAGAAAAAAGAAGTCGCTGTTTAAAGTATGGCAGACAACCAAAAGTTCAGACAGCTGCAATGAAGGATTAGTTGTGGCTTTTTCTCACTGCCTTGCTACAAACTGCATCACAGCTCTATGTTCAAACACTATTAAATGGGAATGTTTTCTCTGGCACTGACTACTTCTCCCCACAGTTTAAGTATTGAATTTTTTTAACTGAAGTAGCTTTGGTTTACAGCTCACATTAGAACTTAAAAACATATTTCCATAGTAGCAGGCATATGCAGGCAACTGTTTATTCTCAGCACCAGCCATAATAAACACTTGTACTTTTATAATCCAACAAATCTTTGCCTAATCACAACTCCGTTTTCAGAGCTGTAAAATTTGCATACTATTTAAACCATTTTTCATGAAGACTCTAGAAACAGAGAGATTAACTGAGTCTGCCTTCATTGTCAATATAGACCAATAATTCACTGCAAAGATACACGGTGGGTATTAATGGCAACAGTCTATTGAGAAAAAGCATCGTAAAGCAGGACATGCTATAGGATTTTCAGGGAACTAACTTGTCTTGAGGAGACCCACCTTTAATTCTACCTTGACTTACTCTGGCAAGTAGGAAGAAGTCGCACCCCCTTGGTTGGACAGGCTTTATGGTAAATTGAGAACAGCATCCGACTATCTTTTGAGTTTATATTTTAGCATTCCAAAGGAGTAAGGCTCTGGAAAATGGAGAAATTTGAATTTGCTTTTTGCTCACGCCTTGTCAACAGAAGTACTGAAGGTCTGCTTGCAGTATTGCTACAATGAAAGGGCCCAGCAAGACATTTGAATTCCCACTGAATTTGCCAGAACTGATCATTCTAAAGGTACTTGGGTTTTGTAGCTGACTTATTGGCTATCAGAACTGACGAGATACTGAAGTATGGAGCCTATGATGCTGTTTTATGGGAACAGAATTAAACTCTGGGGAGAAAAATAACCCACCATCCTTCTTCCTTTTTTAATAAGTATTTGTGTTTATGAGGATGAATTGGCAAGAAGCTGGTAATACATGAAAAGTTACTATCAGGAAGAGCAGGTATTACTTTGAAAAAGACTATATGCTTGGCAGAGTCTGTCACATACACTTACTTCCCACCTGTGAGTCTCTTCCCTTGCCCAAGCTTTGGTTCCTGCATAAAAAAGATTGTCCTGACAGACAGCAGTCATGTTTTTCACATAACCAAATACCAAGTTCAGTGCACCAGCATTTTTGCCTCAGTTGGATTTTCAGCTTTCCAGCAGTTCCCTATCACGCAGGATCCCATCCAACAAGAGGCCAAGCACAGGACTTGCACTGTGTGCAGGCCCTTGTGCTAGCCATCTGCCAGAGGATCAAAAGCCAAGATCAGCTACCCAAATAGCCAGCTTTGTTACTAGAAATGTGAGCAATTACTAAAAAAATGAATTGTATGGCTCTATAAGAAGCAATACTACCACCGAGGTCAATACGAAGTGGTCAGCCCAGGGTCAGCAGACACATGCCACCCATGCTGCGTTCAACTAAATCACACGAACACAGTGGCTTCAACAAAATGACGCTTGCCTGAGAATCAGCATCATTCTGTAAGCCTTACAAAAAAAGAAATGGAGACAAAACCTCAGCGTCCCCCCGGTTTTGCAGACGCTGCTAACATCTGAAGCAGGCAACTCTCAACTGAGAGAATTTGGGGTGGCAGAAGAGAGGCGAGAACTATGTTCCTGTAGCCTCCCAAGAAGAGCTGGCAGGATCAGAGAAGGGGAAGAAAAGACACTGATTTACTGCAGTCACATGTAAATGTTGGCATTTGACAATAGCAGCAGCAAAAGAAAAATCAGTTTAAAGAACCTGAGAATGCTGAAAAAAGCCACAATAAATACTGAAGAACTGGTAGAGGAGCTATTTCTCATTAGAAAAGAACAAGGGCTTGAGAACAACTTGTACTTATTAAGATTAAACTGGCTTTGGACCATACGTAGTGGAAATTAAAAAAGCCAGAAAAAATCCACAGACACTTGGACAAAATGAAAAAGGGATCATGGTGCCATTTCAGGAGGCCACGAGAGTATCAGCTGCCTCCTCAGTTTAAATGGAATGGTAAAGGACATCAGGCTTACCTAATGTGGGCTTAAGAAAAATAAATCACTGGCTAATGGACATCTTAGTAAATCACAAAATCCCCACCTGAACACGCACGATGGCAGGAGATTTTAGCTGTAAGGTCGAAGAGCTGAGGAAATGGCCGAACATGAAAAGAGATCAGCTAAGGAAGCCTTAAAGACAGAATCACAAGCTTACCAGAAAACTGATAATACCCAAGAGACTTGCAATGGTTGAATAACTGTTTGATGAAGAGGAAAGTTAGGGTTCATAGGCACTAAATGTATCCCCAGTGTAACTCATTGAAGTTAAATTAACCACAAAAGAGGTTGATTCTGGTGCTCAGTATTTTACTGGTGGAATGAAAATTAACAGTATTTTACCACGTACTTTGTTCCTTAAAAATATCACAGCAATCTCCAATAATTAGTGCTGGAGAGGGAAAGAAAGAATTCTGGGTGGAAAACCAAAGAGATCCTGGAATTGATTTTCTGTTATTTCGTACCTACTATAGTCTATGCCACTTGCTTCTCCAACAGGCGAAATCTGATCAGAAGCCTTTTGCACGCGTTATTTTCACCCATGATGTACAGATATGGAAAACCTCATGCCCAGGAACTTGAATTATAGGCACCTCTTTTAGGAGTCTTTTAAGGTTTTGCGTTGCAGTACCTACAGACAACACACAAGAGCTGGGGCACCACAGAAATAAACAGACAGACAATAGTCAGTGCTTGGCAGAGCTCCTAAGTCAGCTTCGTAAATGGTGATCAGAAAAAAGTACAGTGTTGTAAAATAAAGGCAGTGTGGATGGATACATCCACCTCCAACCACCTCCATACCCTTTAGCATCAGGACTTCTGGATTGGAAAGTTGAGAGTATTAAAGATGAAGTTATTTGGGCATATGATCTTAACATAAAGAGCTGGGTTTCTGAGGGGGAAATCTGGAGTTGTCCTATGCAGGTTGGAAAGCAGGAGGGTAAAAGTCCTCCAGAAAGTAACCTCTCCCTTGAGCACAAACATACCTGCAACAACAGAAAACTAGGGACAAACTGGAGAAGCTACCCCAGCTGGGTATTTTAACACATGTACTGCATGGGGATGCGATGTGATGGTTTACGATCAACTGCTTGTTTAGTCTTAAAAGCAAAGTTAAATTCTTACATAAAATTACAATAAATGGAGTGCTAATATTATGTGGAACAAAAAGCTCAAGGAAATCTGATACATCCTCTGTATCAAGGCACAGAGTAAGCCAGACTCTGGTTTTGTCATCACAAGTGTAGCTGGGCAAATCTCCTACAGTTAGAAGGCTCTTGATAAGATTTTCAGTCTGAGAAAACAACAGCCTGCCCATTGACTTCAGCATGTTAATTGTCATTTATAAAGAAGCTAAAAACCAATCTGGTCTTCCACACGTCTTTCACACATAACTTCTAACATTTTAAAATGATTCAGTGCTGTTACGGGCTGGAAGACACTTCAACCTGATCCTGTGGATTCCCCTTATTCTCTGCAGACACTCAATAGTGTAGACACTATACTTCCACAACATACATAAGCTATAGCAGCAACAACTCAGCAAGGTCGTGTAGATCATGTTTTGCCTTTTTAACAACCTTTTAACAAGCAGATTTTGGTTTAGCAACTCACTTCTATTCAGCTGAATTAGGATTCAGTCAGAGGAGCACTGAATGCTCTTGTCTCCCTTTGATGTAAGCAGGATGAAACCACTTGCAGGACTTGATCCTTAAAAAAGAAAGGAGAAAGAAAGGGATGAAATCCTGGATCCTCTTCTTAGGTCAATGGGGATTTCTGCTCTTCAGTAGTCTTGTGCACCAATTCACTATTCATCTCTAATACAGTATTTTTGGAGCCTTCAAAGTACTTCTGTATTAGACTCCACCATATAGTTAATAAAAATGTCAGGAATCCACATGCAAATATTTCTCAGTATTCCACTTAAAACAGCCTCAGTCTCCACCTGTACTTACTTTCGGATGAGAACTGTGCAGACAGTCCCACAAGGCTGAAAGAAAAAAAAAAAACAAACTGTTTTTTCTATGGAAAAGAATGCTCAAGACATTGATCACCATTATTTTATACAAGATTGGCCCCACCTCACGCAGGAACCCCAAGTTCTTTCAACAGGAAGAGTAAGAATTCGTAGGAAAAAGGAATTCTTTATTATTCAGTTCTAAGTGACCTCAGTTTCACACCACGGAATTTAATTTAGTTTTTAAAAAAGATCAACACTGCTTACAGAATTCTTTAAGCATTTCTTGCAAGATCACCAACTGTGCTTTGTTAATCAACTTATTGCAGCTATTTAAATGTATCTTAATGTCCTTCAGGTGCACTGGAAGTATCACTTTATTCTTCATCATAGAAAAAGACATATATAAATAATACAATACATAGCTCAGAAAGTCAAGAGGAACTGTTATGTCTTCCCCGGGTCACAACCTGACAGAAGTTCTTTGGAATTCAGCTCTACTGTTACAACTCACTAGAACATCACTGAAACAAGGAACCTTAGTGTCAGCCCAGAAAATACAAACAGTCCGTTTTGTTGTGTTTGTGTGATGGGAAGAAAGCTCAGGAGGAAACCCCCTATGCACCAATTCTGTAAATGCACAGTGAAAAGCCACGCTCACAGAAGAGCCAGCAGCACGGAAGTGATCCTTCAGGAGCGGATCTTGTGACGTAAGGTGGAGCTTAAAGGAGCAGCTTTGAGGTATATCTAACTGGAACTACAGGTGACCAAAAACACTAGTAAGGAGCAGTGGTGAATCTTCACTTTCATAAAATACTTCAGAAGTGATTTCACTCATCAGGATTCCTTCTTTTCCTCTACTTCTAGCAGCTCATCAAGGAATTCCACAACTTCACCCTAGAAAGGATTAAATTTAACAGGAACAAGTTAACCTTTGTTAACTTGCAAAATCAGTGGAAACCTTCAACTATTTTAACCAAAGCATAAACTGCCATAATAGGTGTCTAAGTATTTTTTAACACACTTCACACAGAAGCCAGCACAACAAGCCTAAAAATGCAGGCAAATGGCCCATAGAGGGGATACACAAGTACTTGCAGTGACATATCTTAAAAGAAGGAAATGTTACACTCACAATATATCCTCTTGCACTTTTTCAGGTATTTGAACAGACAACGAAATTCTCAAACTCAGAAAGTAGAAGAATAAATGTTTAAAGCACCTGTTAAATTAGGAAATTGTTAAAATACCATAGAAGATTAAAGAATTTTAGGAAGCTTCAAAATTCAAAGCCAAAGTGCTTTGTAGAACTGTAACTCTGACTTTGCTTCTGTCTGCTCTGTTTATGTCCTGAAACAAAAATCTAAAGAACCAGAGACACCAGAATATTTTCCACACTAGAAACAACTATGTTGGCTATAGATTCAGAACAGAAAAACATTGTATTTACAAGCTCCACTCTGGTAATACAGGGTACCGACAAAACAATCCAACTTTAAACTACTCCTAATGTAGTCCTATGTCATATACCATAGTCAAATGTCTTTCTGCAGTCAAACCTGAGTACTTTGGGATGATACAGCCCCACCGGCTGGAATTTACTGCTCTGTCAATGGAGCTACAGTAACTGCTAGAGCACATTTTTGCCTAGAAAGGTAACCCTGAGGAAGACAGCACCTTCCAGACATTCCGTTTGAGACTCAACATTTTAGTTTTCTATTAAAACCTCTGTTACTAAACACAATAAGAGGAAATATTGTCTATTTTTAATACAATGATTGTATTATGGACATGGTGATTAAAATCATTAACATCACATTTTTCCAAAGGAGAGAAATAACGAGAACCAAGCAAGCAAAAATAAAAGTGGGAGGAAAGCTGTCCGAAATAACTGCTGCTTTTGGTCCCTGCTTCACAGCTCCATCTTGAAAGACTGTTGAGTTTTTGCAACTTACAAAGTGGTTTTAGCGAGTCCTGAAGGATGGCAATTTATTTTTCCTTTGAATTTGTTCAAAACATCTAAGTACCCAATTCAATAAAAAAGATGGGAAAAAATGCCGGCACTTTCATATTCCCTACTTGTCTTACTGGTTGCAGGAAATCTGGCAACTGGAAAACAGGAATTTGACGTTTCTGCACGTTTTCCTTTGTTTGAAGTATTTTGATTGCCCAAGGAGCCCAATCGTGGAGAGAACTCAAAACCACTTCACAAATGGACATGAAGGAAATAGCCACTAGGTTCAACAGTCACTATGCAAGCAGTTGGAAGATACAGAAACAGACGCACAGGGGACTTCAGGTCAAGTTTTATAGCACAGCTCCTAAAACTGGGCACAAGCATTTGCATGCACCTTGAAGGACTACAGACAGGCAGGCCCCATTAACTCTGAAGAGAGCTAGGAGACTGGGAATACAGGTGTCCACTACAGGAGTCCCAGATCTAGTTCAGACTAATTGCTTTACACCTCAGGATCACAATTTAATGAAAGAATAACAAACAATAAAAAGGATTTTTGCCCTCAGTCTACCTGCAAAGGCAATCCCTAAAAAATGAAGAGTCTGAAAGGCAGGGTGAAAGGCACAAATATCCGACTAGATGACCCAGAATAAGGAAGTATAAGGAAGACTTGGGGATTTCAATATTGTACCTTTGGTAACTCAACCATATGTAATCTTAATTCAATTCATATTATTGCCACGTTCATCAGTAAGATAGGGTGTTTCAGAAGGCACAGAAGATCACGGACAGATTCAGGGTTTTTAATTCTATGTTCTCATATCCAGAAACATGTAAGCCCAAGTTTTAAATGGAAAAGGATATTTAAAAATTGACTGAAATCTGAAATCTCTAGAGCCTGAAATTGATCTCTAAGGGAAAGGATGTCAGAAGCTTTTGTGATCTAATGAGAAGTACTGGGGAATAAGAGAGGTTGATATATGGCAAAAATACCAAAACAGCTGCCCAAACAATATACATACAGTAAATACACTGTAATGCAACTGAATAATTGCCTGGATGTTGGTTATATTTGAAAAGGCAAAAACTCCAGATGAAAGACAAACAAAACCTGCAGTTAAAATATTTCTGCCCGTGCATTCACAGTCAGAATGTAAAACATTTGCAAGTTGTCCAGAGTGTGGTTGGCAGCCTAAGGAAAAGTGCTAACACTGCATCAGAAGAGCTGATCACATTGTCACATTAGCAGCTTCGACCAAATTGACCACTGTCCTTGCCCCATTAGCGCTCGCTTGACACCGCATCAGGCATTCTGTATGACTGAAGTCAGCAAGTATTTCAGAGGTGTTCACTCCAGGACTCCTGCCACTGGTATCTAATTAACTTCATGCTGGCCTGCGGATCTGGAGCCTGAAATAATTCTCTGCTGTGATTTAACCATTCTGTGTGACAGAGTTCCTCCCATTATCTGGAATGCTCTTTGGCTCCTACCTACCTTAATAGGAAGGACACCAAATTTTCCATGCACTAGTAAAAAAAATTTTAGATGCAGTAGCTGCAGCTACTACACAGGACAACAGCCACCCACCAGTAATGCAGGTTACGTAAATATGCTGCTCAGACACAGTGTTGATGTAAATCAGAGTTGAGCAATATATGGCCCAAAGTGCGATGTAGCTGTCTGGCCCGTAGCTAGTAAATCAGTAAGTGAAGTCTGACTAAGCTGGGGGAAGAGAAGGGTTTGCCACCAGACCAGTACATGCCTGATAGTGAGGCAGCCAACAGCTGTAAAGTGTGCTCATGGGGACTGCCTGGTCAGCTGCAGTGAAGCACGTCCTCATCAGCAAGCTGGCTCTTGGTCCACGGTCTTTGCCTCCTGGTTTGCACTGGAGGCTGGGTACACGCTGCAGGTACAGCAGCTCTGCCAGCACCCCATGACCTCCCTCCCTGTGCTACCAACCTCTCCTTACCTCTCCCAGTCCAGGGACAGCGAATGGAAAGTGGGAGTGACACAGCAAGGATGTATGGGAAAGAACGGGACAGGTACAGCCTGAAATATGGGACGCATGATATCAAACAGCAGAAAGGGAATGTTCCCAGACTGGAGTGAGGGGTAGGAAGAACCAGAGAAGATGATCTGATCAACTGAGTCCTCTAATTACCTGTCAGATATGCAAACTGAGCAGCCTTGTCTTAGACTAACAACTGAACAGAGGCACAAACAGAAAGAACAAGTGTTGTACCACAGTAAGTAATTCTAGAAGGTTTTACAGAGGGTATGTGAGTAGTTAGATCATAATAAAGCATGATTTTAAAACACAGTTCTTGATCAATTCTAAATAAGCTAATCCAGGCTAGTGATATTGGTGTGCTATTTCAAGTGAAGCTATAGCATTTGAAAAAATAAGTGCTAAAAAGATGAAAAATGCAGAAGTCCTCAGTTATTACTGCAAGCTGAGTGTCCAAGACCACGGTACACAGTGGGCCAGGGACTGTTGCCAGTCCTTCCTTATGCAGTGTTAAATGCTGCATTCACAGACACAAAACATAACCTTTTAGAAGAAACATCTGTACTTTGGAGACTCCTAGCCAGCTATTAAAATAAACAGCAAAGAGGAAAGGCTACCAATATACGGCTCAGTTATAGTCCACTTGAGACTGACAGTCCAGCACCAACTCTTCTTTTGACAGCAGCATTTAAATCTAGTTGCAAGCAGCAGCAGCTGTACTGACACAACCAGATGCTTTGCTGTTAGTTGCAAAGACTAAGCACTGCCTTCTACACAGAAAATACCCATCATTCATGGGTCCTTGTCCTTTCTCAGTGTGAACTGGAAAACTTCTGGGGGAAAAAATAGCTTTCTTGCAATAACCCATACTTTCCATGCAGATCTGTTGATGGCCTTTTCAATAGGGTCTCCATATGCATTGCAGTGGGTAGCCTGTTCTTCAGGGAAGTAGCAGAAAATATTAAAATAAGAGTGTTCTAGAATGAATTAAGTTCTACAGAAAAGTATTACTATGGACATGCTTCCATGTGTGATTATCAGTGGATGAGTAAGAAGCAGCCTTTATCATAACTCATTCAACAAACTGCTCCTTGGGAGACAACAGAGCAAGGAGAATTGGCTGGATCTTCGTTTCCTTACAATCTGTGATCTAGAAGGAAAACATTTATCCCTGGCTGTCCTTCACAGCAAAAACTGAAATTTTGCTGAAGTTGCAAGATCTTAGTGACTGGAAACTTGTTCAACAGTGAGAGTAACAGATTTGATTCCCTTATGTATTGGGCCATAGGTGAAAAGACTGTAGTAGGGGAAAGGGTTGCAAGGGTAGATTGTGTGAGGAGATGTCAGGGCTGCCCTGTAACTAACAAGTAATTGTCCTGTAACTGCCCCAGGGACTAATTTGAATAACTAATGGAAGTAGTGCCAAAGAGTTAGGTTATGAAAAACGGCAGATTTTGTTCAAGGAAGAGTGACCATCTTGCAAAAGTGAAGACAAAGGTTTGATGCGGACAACTGTGGAGGATACGTTCTCCACGGGCCTGACAGAGCTTGTAAGTGCACATCCCACAGTCCTCTGGCCAGTGATATTCTGGGGACACACACATTACTTTGGGATAACAGTAAGGCTTGTGTCAATGAATGGCTCAGCATTGAACGGTTTATTCAGCCTTTGACCAAGAAAAAGGATCCTTGATCTAACCTTCAGTTAAAACATTAGAGTTCACGGTAACCACCTCACAGCCCTCCCAGATCTTCCAAGAGCAGCACAGACCAGGCTGGACATTCCTCGCATTCTAGCAAGGGGAAAAAAATTCCTCAATTCTTTGTGCAGAAAAATTATCTGGCCCTTAACCTGTTTGTTTTTCTGATGCCTGCTCCACAGTGACCCACTGCCACATGCTTTGAGGTGGGGGTTTTTTTCAATATTAAAAGAGCTTATTTGTTCTTTACATGTATGTTGATTGCTTTCTCAAATATTTTTCCATTTCATTTTTATTGATACAATCTGAACATACACTATGAGACTGCAGCACACTGCAGTTATTACAATAGTATTTTACAGTAATCCAGTAAAAATGCTTTCCTCTTAACATTTTTATAATGCCTATAAAACATGAGTCAGTTTCAAAGCAACTTCAACACTGCTCCCATTGCACTGAAAACAGAAGCCTTCTAGCGGCTTTGTTTCTCAACTCCACTTACTCTCTCTTGCCTGCTTTACTGCTGCACGCAGAAGCTTAAGAAAAACTGGGCAGGTAAAAACTCCTCCTAATGTCAGAACCCACATCTGCAGGACATCCTGCCATTTAAGCCCAACCATGGAACCAGCTTCCCATCGAAGGTGGTGTAAGTGGAAGAAGGAACATCTTTGACCGGGATACATGTCCAACGGTAAGGAAGCAAGAGGGGAAAGCAGGAAGGTTCTGCAGGGCCAGCCACATAGGGAGTATCTCCACTAGGAAAGGATAAAAAAAAAATAAATCTTCTTTCTTTAAAGAAGCTTATGTTGCACAAGGACCATAACAATGCCACTTAGCTGCCAACTCCCTCCGACACGGCTGCCACCAGCTCTTCTCAGTGCGGCGGTGCTATTGTAAACTGTGCTGGTCCGAGGTTGCAGACAGGGCAGGGTTTACATGTCTGCAGTTACAACTTGCCATTACAAGCACCTTTGCATAATCTCCATGTACACAAAAGTGTGTTAATAAAGCTGAAAATATGTTGTTAGTGATTCCTGAGCAGAAAAATAGTCTGAATTCAGATCATTATCTGCTGTAACTAGTCCACTGGGCCCGCATGCTTTGATGCTATTCCACATATTCTTTTTCCAGCAGTCACATTAGTTCAACACTTGTTCTCCTTCGCATCACACTTCAGAACGGAGCATTTGAATTTCAGCTACTGTACAAATGGACACACACATCATATACAAATAAAAAGAACAAGATGGCAAATAAAGAGGGTCAAAGCTGCCAACAGTTTTTCACCTACTGATTAAGTACTGAAAGAAAAATCACATTGTAGGATCATCTCAGCCAAATACTTGTGGTTCTTATGTAAGTTAGAACAGCTAAGTAGCTATCCCTGAAAAAAAAAAATCCTCAAGAACAGTGATTTTATGGGCCAGAAACATGTCTCATACAATTAGCGTAAGGCTGAAGTTATATCTACACCAGCTGAGTATCTGGCTCTTAATGGCATTTCAGTTTGCTATTTAAATCTGTGCAATACCAGGAGTTGTATCTATTAGAGCCTTTATGAATTACGCATCTGAACAGAAATCAGAAAGCTTCACAATCCATGGCCAACTAAGATGACAACTCTGTGTAATGTCCTTTCAACTTCACTGTGGAAAACTGCAAGGATATTTAATAATAACTATTTTTAAGAAAAAGTAATTTGTAGCTAGTTGGCACTAATGTTCTCCGTCACCTCTGCTGTGTTGAATGTTTGAACCAGAGTTTTTCATTTCCTTGTGGAAAAACATTAATAAAGTAACACGAACAGGACAGTATTTCTTATAGTGACATATGCAAAAATCATTACTGCATGTTCCAGCCTTTGCAATTACTGCCATGTATTATTGGAAGAAGCTACTTGTTCTCACTCGCTTTGCTAATTGGATTTAAAAAGACACATGGATGATCTGGGATATGGGAGCACTGAGAAGTCTGAACAAAATGAGATTCTCCACTTGGGAATGATGACATGTTCACATAGGAAGAGATCTTTTTGCCACACGAATCTTTTTGCTTCACTCAAGGAAAGAAAATGATTTTTTTCTGCAGATTATTTTATGGGCTTCTTGGCCCACAAGCAACTTCACAGACAGCAAACATGGACCTATGCCCTATGGCCCAAGAAGCACATGGTTTAAATAAACAGTGTACTAAAAAGAGAGGTTGCCTCCATCCTTAACAACTTTTAATAAAGCTTTTACTGTAACACCTTATCTGGGCTTTCCAGTTTTCAGCATTCCTATGGAATAAACTTTTCTATCTGTGCCAGGAGAAAGATTAACAAGAAATTCCACTTCTACTACCAGGTCCTGCCCATATAGCAGAAACTGGAAGGTAGCGCTTTTACCTTTGTGCTATTCCTGTTCTGTCTGGCCTCCTTGGAAGGCTCCTGCAGCCAAAGACAAGTTCTGGTAGCCAGGGATTTATGAGTTCACTACCAAAAGCCAGTGCCAAGCCAGAGGCAATGGATAGCCTCCATCCCTCCCAGGTTCTTCAGCCCTAGTAAGAGGGCACAGAAGCTTTTCCCTGGGAGAGGAGAATGGTAACTTTCCTGTTACGATGAGAGTGTGGGGTAGGGATATCTGTGGCACAACCAGGCCCAGTAATTTTTGTTGTTTAACCCAAACAAATAATCCAGTGTAATGCGACTTCCTTGTCACTTCTCCAAAAGTTTAATTGAGGTTTCCACTGTACTTCCCTCCTGCAGATTGCAAGGTCATTTATAACTGCACTAGTGAAACAGGCTACAGGAACGAATGCCAGCAAATAAATGCTTGTTTATTCTATACACAGTACTTGAGGCTGAAGATTGTTTCTATCCCTCCTTCTAACAACATATGTGGAAAGCCCTCACAACAGACTGCTTCTCCCCTTCCTTAATTACTCATCCTGTGTTTTGAAGCAGCAGAAATGAGAGAAGAACTACAAATTAAGTTCATGCCCAACATAAAAAAACATAATGGGCAAAGCACAAACCAACAAGGGAATACAGAAAGTGCTCAAGTATTTCACACCCGGATGAAAATCCATACAGACTAGTCCTTATAAGCTTAACCTTATAACAAGCTTATTAAACTGTCTTTCACAGTTTTATCACAATGGAAAGTCTTCCTTAAGTCCTTGCAATGGAATTTTATGTATAGATTTGTTTTCAGGTCACTAGCATACTGAAGGCAGCACAGATATATTACTACTTTTGCACTATAAAATATTATCTATCTCTCCCTATGTGCTGGATAACATAAAAATTGCAAAGGTGATTTCATTTTTTAACATAAACCATCTTTCTCTTTTCTAACTAAAAAAGAGCTCAGCCGTGCTCCTTACAAGCACCCTGCCCCATGTCAAACTGAGCATAGCTCTTTGCCAATGCCAACAACAAACTATTCCATCATTTGAAGATTTTTTCAAACCTTTAAATGAAAGATTCTGAAAACAAAGCAAAACAAAAGGCAATCCAAAGCCTCCATGACTTACACTTTCATTTCGGCTGTGAGAGACAAAGAAATGCCCTCTCAACAATTTAACTACTTTCCTTGCACAAAAAAGAAATCCACTTTACATGTTTCCAGTCTAATAGTAGTCATTTTATGTTATCTGTCCATGAACTCCAACCACTTAAGAAGCAAGACTGGGTGACCAAACTGTTACAGTGCAGGAAAAAATAACAAATATCAAGATTTCCTTTTGACAAAAATTAAGATTTAGGTGGTTACTTCTGGACAAAATTATAAGAATCTTTAAATCTAATTTAAACAACATTTCAGGAAAAAAAAAACAAAACCAAAAACACACACACAAAAAAACCAAACCCAAAGAACCCCCCAAAACCAGAAAAAACATCAGGTTTAAATATATATACACACACACTACTTCTCTGCCCCCTTGTGTTGTAGCTTGCAAGGAGGCTTTCTGCTTTGTGGGCTCAGTTACATTCACCTTTGTGTTAATACCATCCGTATTTTTTTAAACTGTATGTGATGTTCTTCAGGTTTGTTTGTTATATCCCATTACAAAAGAAAAAATCATGATCAAATGGTCATGGTTACAAGAAGAATTTTCCATAGTGGCTAAATCCTGGAATTCCATCTATGTATCACTTCACTTTAATGTGATTGCTGGTTTTTGACCACAATTTCCTTTCTAGAAAACTCACCTCATCATCATCCATCAGATGTTCCTTTGCAAAGTCATACATTTCCAACTGGAGTGTGGTTATGTTGTGGTATCGAACAGCTTCCTGTCAAAAGACCAAAATTTCCATGTTAGGGTAGCAAGACAGGGAAGTGTCATCATGTCACCTGAAAGTATTCCAGTGAAGTCAGACCCAGACTTAGTAAAAGGTAGACCCAGGGGGGGGTTATAATGTTTGTGAAAGGAAACAGAACAGCAAGCAGCGTATCCAATGTCTTCTGTGGACCTTTCTAAGCACAAGCTCCATCGGTATGAGAAGAACAAAGCACTCTCCTCTTTCTCATGTTTCAAAGCATTGGCAAGTCTGAGAACAAGGAATGAGACTGCCAGAGCTGAGCCTGCACCTGCATTCCAGCAAGCTTTGGATGTGAGAAAGCCTCTGTCGCCCTGTGCTCTGGTGCATGGCAGCAGGCAGTGCTGGGAAAGAGACAATAAGCTATTTTGCATGATAATGACTCACCCCGGCCTGAGTCTGGGAAGTTCTGCACCGTCACCCACCTGTCTGGTTCAGCTGTCACCTACTCTCACATTTGTGAATACCAACAGTAATCTACTTCGATCATCCCCTTTAACTCCTCTCGGGAGTAACTCCTTAACTCCCACCACTGCCAAACATTGTCTCCAGTATGGCTATAATGCACAGTTCTGTCCCCGAAAGCAGTGGCAAAGGAGTGGTCTCTTTCAACTCTGAGCTCAGACTCACTGCTGCTGCCTGAAAGAACCAAATGCATTTTTGCTTGCTTCTGTCTCAGCTGGCTCTGCAGGGTAGACCTGGGTTTCCAGTGTGCAGGTAAGGCGTGTTGCACCTAACAGCTGTCCGCAAGTAAAACCCATTTAACTCAAATGCAGGGGTTCAAATTTCTGACTTGAGCTGGCTGGCCTGAGAGGAAGGAGTGCAATTATCACATCAGTGCAACCTCCAAGGTGCATCCCTGAACTGCTCTGCAGTGCTGCTACAGATAAAGTCAGTCACCTAAGCACCGCACACATGGACCGAGTTCAACGCAGCATTACGGATCAAGGGCCTCTGGGCCAGCGCAGGTCTCGGTGACTGAGGTGTCTGAAGAAGCAACATGGGAAAGGCAACTGGAATGTTACCCAGCAGGATGCTCACTGCTGCTTCAGCTAGGTTAATTTAAATGACTCTTGCACAGAGAAGTCATGCCGTAAGAGAAAGAACAAGTATTGCTGGTGACTAACTATGTGTACAGCACATACCCCTGATGTCTACGGAGTCACTCAGGTGTCACAAAGCAGTTAATTCAGTTGCATGAAATAAATCCTGGTAATGAGAAAATCTAGTCTGATTGTCAGAGTCCAGGCTGCAGGAGTCCAGAAACACAGCAAAATGGTTTTACCTGTAAAACTTCCTTGGACATGGAAGTTTAAGAATAGCATAGAAACACATTTTTAGAATAATTTCTCAAAGCCAGATCACGTCACTATATTCCATTTTTCTCTTCTCCATGCTGAATGATGGATTAAGAACTTCAGTCTATTTGTAAGTTACGGGAAAAGAATGAATGTATGCTGGGCCAGATACACCCTGATTTAAAAATGGCACTGCTTCAGTTGCCTGCCATGAAGCTAGAGCACTATATTTCACTTGATGATACCCTACATACCTGTTATTATGAACCAAGAAAATAATTGTGCAATGACCCGACTGCTGCTCCTTAGACATGTAAAATATTTTCTTTGATGTATAATCCCAATAATCAGTTTATAAAATCTAGTTACGTATATTCCATATATAAAATGTGAACAGTAGTTTTAATTAGGACTATATGGAATCTTGATATATGGATTTTATCAGATAAATTCAGAATCCCACTCATATCCAGCAGGTTGGCACATACAGGTCTAGAAAGGCACATAAAGCAAGGATGTAGAGATAACAATCATTGCTGGACGGCCTGATGTTTACTGTGGGCTCTTTGCAGCAAGTATGCCAGCTGAGATAATTAGATGCAATATGGTCCTGGGCCTTTTTCCATCTTCATCCACCCAACTATGTTCTAAAGTAAGTGGAAAGTAAGTTTAGCTGGGGTTATCATATCCGTTTAGCTGGGGTTATCTGTTGGCATTTCAATGCCAACAGAACCTGAAATAACAAGCAAATGGGCATGTTGACAAATAATAAGTGATTCCCAAAAGCCTAAATGTCACTGGAGTGATCTTTTCACCAGGAGATTTCAGGGAGCAGCTGCTTCAGTCATCAACATAGATAAAGATAAAAATAAGCATGTCAGACAAGTACCACTGTGAATTTATTTGTCATCTTATTATAACCCTACTGTAATATATGCCAACACGAAATACTATAATGACATTCACTGTCTATGTTACACAGTACATCTCTGTGTACAACTTTCTATGTGGTTTTAATAAAACAGCATGTGTTTAACTCCAGAACCAATAGATAACCAACACTTTCCCAACCTCTGACCCACTGAGCTTCAGGAAAATATCTGCATGTGTCTAGAAGGCACATTAATTAATTCACCTACCGATCTGGGCTGAAAATCCTCCTCTTTAAGTCCCCATTTGTCTCTGTGGTACTGATAGTAGACCATGTTCTGTTTCATTACTTCATCTTTCTGGTCAAACAGAAGGTAACTAGCAGCACAAGCAGCTGCATTCTTCATGTCATTCACTAATTAATAAACACACACACACACACACAAATTAAGATAAGGTAAATGAACAAATTCCTACCATTATCCAAGCTCTGAAACACTCAGACGGAAACAGAATCCATTTTCTATCTCCCCACCAGCTGCATACAAAAAGAAAAAAAAAAACCCAACAAAATTGCTTCCCAGAAGCAATATTTTCATGTTCTAAAACAGGTTTCTGAAACATGATTCAAAAATGGGGACTTAACTGATGGTTTTCTATGAAAATCCTAACCAAATATTCCAGTATCAGTGAGATACTGGTATCCTAGTACCAGCCCACATCTTGGTGATCCCCACTGGGGCATTTATTACAAAACAAAAAACACACCACCCCCATGTCCCTAGCAAAAGAATAACCCCACTTCTTTGTACAAGAATTGACAAAAATGAAAGAGTCAATGTGTAAAATGTGCAGTCAAACAACATAAGCAGAAGTCATTAACGACTTGATGCTACATGGCTGAATTTGTCTTCCCTTTGATGTTGGAGCCTGCAGAAGCAGCTGTAAGGGCTACATGTGTTCTTTACAGTGCAAGTAATTCCTCAAGAAACTGCAAAATTCACTGAGTGATTTAACTATCAAGTATGTAATTACTGAGCACCACAACACTACCATTTCTTTGATGTGGTCCCCTTTTGTTCAAAACCCATTTAGCCCCATAAGCCCCATTCTAATAGGATTATAAGAATCCATTAGGGAAAAGTGAATGCTATGAAATACTCTGTAGGTTTCTCTGTGGAAGAAATGATGAATAGTAAATTTAAAATTGAGTATTTATTGAATAGAATGAAGTGTGTTATGTTAAATGTGTTGCCTTGAATCACAGTCTTTCTTTTCTCTAAGTTATAAGCCTAAGAAAAAAATTGCTAGAACTATACATTCAGCTGCTTAAAAACCATGTGGGCCTGACAGCTTGACCCCTATGGCTTTTTGGCACAAACCATGCAGGTTTTGCACATAGATGTACAAAATGGATCTGTGTCACTGCACGTGTTCCAGTGGAAGTGGCTGGCACTCTTTACCCTAAGATGTTTTGAGTTACTTCACAAAGGCAGAAGAATTGGTGTATCATTAAAACATCTAAAATACATACTATGAACATTTATAATTTATATGAGCATTATCATTTACACAAAATGATAAAAGCTCATATAAAGAACAAATGGTAGTGATGGATCAGATCACATTTATTCTGTAACCACCTCATTTTTCCAACACTCAAGTGGAGACCAGTCACAACCATGCATAACTTAAAACAGAGGGGCCTGACCTGGACAAAATCCTTATAAGACTTATATTCAGCAATTTATTTTGTCATGGACAATTTTATGAGCATGGGCTCTATACATAAGGTTTATCTCCCATGTCTGTTAACTACAGTTATACAGGGAGAAAAAAATGCCAGGCAACTCAGACTTTCTGTCCGAGAACAGGTTAAAACGCAGATTCTGGAGGCTACTACTTACATTCTAAAGCATTATAACTAGAGGAAAAAGATTATGAATGGAAACTTCCCCACATCATCTCAACGTTATTTAAGCACATTAAATCACTACTTACATTTATAATAAGCAAACTGTAAGTAATGGTACATGGTGGCCACAAATTTCTCAACAACAAAGCCTCCAATAATGGGCGTCAGATTACTCTCGCACTGCACTTTGCATGCAAGAACTTCAATATAATGATCTAAAAGAAAGAAAATAACAATGCAGGATATGAATATCGCGTAGTGAATCATCATAACCCCTCCCATTAGGTACCCATGAACATTCGGCCTTATAATGCTCTCCTGGGTTCTATGCAGCTGGATCTTGCGCCTTGGAAGTACTGCGCATCTACAGCTCCATCTGAAGTATGTATCAAGCACTGGTACTCAGCCCTTCTGTAAAAATCTGGGCGGGCAGGACTTGAAATGATTCAAAGCCGCAATTCCAGAGCACTAAGCAGTTAGGTTACACTGACACCTACAGGCAGTCTGTGGCTGCTAACAAAGAATTTTGAGCAGTTGTGGGACAGATCACATTAGGCAACACCACCAAACAGAAGTATTCTAAAGCCTTAGTTTCCCTGTCAGCCACATTGGGCAGGTGAAAGCAAGTTATCTAAGCTTATGTGGCATGTCTCTGACCGAAGCAAAAGAACAGCAAAGGGCCCTTCACCTGATGACTCCTAACATGAAGAATGCTGAAGCTAACTAAAAATAACTAGCAAAATGAAATTACCAGGCCCATCTGTTACAAGAACAGTGGAACCTCCAAAGTAGTATCCAATTCTAGCCAGCACATAAAGCTAGAAACACAAGTCCCTCAGTGAAGTGATCCCATGTAATGAGGACAGCTGGCTTCCAAACAGAACTCATTGCTCAGGGATAGGTATGTACCCAGTGCAATCACCAAATACTTCTGGTTAACTTTTTTTGCTGCATCTACTTCTGCAGTAAAAGCCTCAAAGGCAGAATATATCTCCCTGGAGCAAGAGCACAGTTCAGCCCAGACAGTGCAAGTAAATGTGAATTTTCCTATGTCAGGAACAAAATACTTGAAATGTATGAATATGGCCGTGATGACACCATGCAGTACCTCCGACTTTTCCTTCTCACCACTATTGCTGGGAATTGTCCTTTCCTTCCAAGGAGGAAGAGGAAGGATGACAGCAAGTGCCAATCACAGCTAAGCATGGACACTGTTGGCTTAGAAGTTATCCCCATGTCAGGGCTCTGAACCACTGGGAAAGAAGGTCTGGGTTTCGTGCTTTTCCACCTGTGACTGGACCTTCACTCCTTATCTGCTGTCCTACGCACCTGCCTGCTTGGCCCAAGAGTAGAGCATGGTTTAAGGAATAGCCTGCAACAGCTGTTCCATGTCAGCTGTACTGATGGGTACCAGTTCCACACAGAAACTGTGGAGCTACTCTCCTACTTCACATATATGTATCTATATATTTCACAAATCTTTGCTCAGCAACACATCTGAAGGCTTAAGGACAAAAAGTTGGGTTGGTTTTCCTTCTGGCAAAGCAGAGATTCTGTTGCATTTTTCATGTTTTTAAGTTTGTTGATAAAGCATGCCAGCATTCTCCACGCAAATGTTGCCAACAGCACTGAGCCCAGAGCACTGGAGAAATTGTTTCTTTTGCTACAAAAGAGCATAGGAAATGACTGTGTGTCATTTTGACAGCAATCAAAAAAGGTGGTATCTCTTTTCCTTTGCAAAGCAATTGATTTCTTTAATCTACACACTAAAGAAAAAGAAATCTCAACTGCTAGCCAAACTCTGCTGTAGGAAAGATGAAAAACAGGCAACAGAAATTTGTCATATTTATGAGAAAGCAGATACATCTGACCAGTGACACACAAAACACAAAGCAGATTTTGAAGGCAGGCTAACCGCTGAGCCTCAAAGGTGCCAAACTGGTATTGAAATGTTGGTCAAGAGACCTGTCCGGATAACTGTTGCTACCTGGATGGAGTAATTCTTACTACTTACACATCTGTTATTCTGACACACTCTTAAATTTCCATGTTAAAGGAAGAGCTCTCCATTCTGATTTGCTGACAGCCCTCCTTTATCTTATTGGAAAGAGCAAACCAGAATTCAAGAAGTTTTCAGTGAATCTAATAAACTCATGTTGGCCCAAACCGAGCATGGTGTGTACCAAGTGCATTTCACACTGCAAACTGAGAAACAGGACTCTGGTAGTCAATCCTACAGATAAACCGAAGTGCACCTTTGGGACATCTTTCCTTATTATTTCCTAACTGCTCACCTGCAATGGAAAGATAGAAGTCTTTAAAATCCTTGATCTCTCGGGAACCTTCACAGGCTGCTGTACAGTCGTCATAGGCTTTGAAGAAATCGGGAAGAGCCAGTTCCATGTCTGAGACAGATGTTCTCCAGTTGTCGCCATTGTACGCTCTCACAGCCCTGACAAAAAGATTCTGGAAAATTGGCAGGAATGAGAACCAGAAGTAACTGATCTGTGGAAATCGGTGTGTAAATTCAAGTACAGAACGTGTCTGCATTTCTGAATTACTATAGAAGCTGTTAACCGATTAATGCGAGGACAACAGATGTAGATGACTAATGGATTTTACCAGGTATTTCTAGAGAGCAGAGTACGTAATTCCATTTCAGATCAAAAGAAAAGCCTGCTGGACAGAAGTAACAGTGTGAACCTAAAGCACAGGTTTTGACAGACATTTTCAGTTGAATATTTAACACCAAACGTCCAGCTTACTTTAAACTCTGCCGCTACACCACATTTGAGTAACTATGCACCTGCTTAGCTCCAGTAGTGACCTGCGTGTAGCAGCCTCCAGGTGTGCCACTACCTATGATTCACTGCGACTCATTTATGAAACAGCGGAAAGCGTGAGAGGTGAGAATTACGGACTGAACCAAGAAGGCAAAACAGAGATGATGGAGGAAGACAGGAAGAGGGAAAGGAGAGGAGGAACTAAGAACATGTGAGCAAATGATATTTCTGAATCGCACACAGTAAGAGGAGTAACTGAACAGTTCCAAAAGACCAGACTCTGAATAAAAAAGCATACCTCATAGGGTTTTGTCTCCAAGTCTTTAATATGCTCCTCAGCATCAGGTATGCTCTTATAGTAGGCCATGTTTCTTTGCATCATTTCATCATCTGGATGCTTCAGAAGAAACGTGTGAGCTGCTGCAATTGCTTTTGGAAGATTATTAGCCTGGACAGGGACGGGGAGAGAAGGAAAGGTGGGAGAAGAAAGGTTAATTGCAAAAAAACAGTTCAAAGTTTCCCAGTTTCTGTCAATGAACTTTCCTGCAGCTTCTATACTCCCAAACTTACTTCTACTGACACCACAGTCTCAGCAGATACAACAGTACAGTAGAACTGACGTAATTTTTCTCAGTTTTGCTCCTAGCTGCATCTCTGTGAACACGTTGTGAGAACATATATATTTGTATGAACATGCGTGGGTAAAATCCCGCCGCAGGGAGCCCGGAGCGAGGGGCGTCAGGCGGGTCAGGGCGCGGGCAG